GATGTATATATATAAACCTAATTCCTGCTAACTTCAATCTGGAGTGGCACAACCGCACAAATATGTTCGTACATCTCTTTTTTCATTTGGAGAAGAAGATATTTGAAAGAAAAGTTATGCTCCGTAATAGCCTATGACAATTTCATAAACGGAAGATGTGGTGTGAATATAAATTCATTCTTTAATTTAGGATTGCATTGGAGCACAAATAATATTTTCAATGTCTGTGTGTCCACGTCAGCTTCACGGGCCTTCTACATAAATGACATGTCCATTTTTTACAAGATACAATCCACGATACCATTAAAGATGCTCTTAGTTTGGAGACCGGAATTGTCTGGTCCGAGTTCCTTTTTTTGTTTTTTGTTTTTGCATTTTAAGGCTTATAGGCATTTTAAAAAAGTGCGTATCCATTTAAAAGCTAAAACTGACAGGAGGGAGGTTGGGAGGGTTTAAACACGTAAAACATTAAAAATAAAATATGAAAAACGAGATTGGATTGGCCCAAAAAAGTATACCCAATGTCAGTCTCAATTCAACGGGGGCCAACCTTCAGGATTGGCTAGTCTGCGACTGGAATCGTCTTGGAACCAGGACTGTCCATGCCTATCCTATTCTCCTCCCATTCTCAAAGTGTATAAGTAGTTTGTGGATACGTCAATGGAAACAATACAAGCTTCCTTGGGGTCCTTAACAAGACCTAATAGTTATGTTGCTATCAAAGCAAGAGAATTTCATTAGACATTTTAACAAACACATATTGTGCACAAGTTTTTTTCCCCTCAAATTCTCTACAAATATAAATCACATCCTATTAGAGGAATGTTTGGATCCGCTTTTTAACTATTTATGCTCCTTAAGGGAGCATAAACAAATATTTGAATGTTTTGGTAAAGTGCAGAATTAATTCTGAATGCTCCAAATTACTCCGGAAGCAGTTTTTAGAAGTGAGAAGATTCGTTTCTACATATTTTTTTATTCTGTTTCTACTTTAAAAAAGCTTAAGCATAATCGATTCCAAACACCATCTAGATCACCCAAATCCCTATCTCCACTACCACTCATGAAGTCACGATTATTACAGAATCCACATAAAATTGCAAAAGTAGGTCATGAACACAAACAATAGCCACTACATACAGAGTATATTCCTACAGACGGAGGGAGTATATTCATGCACTACTAGAAAAAAGGCTATTTGCTGCGGTCATTTTTAGCTATTTGCTGCGGTTCTGAACCGCAGCAATTGGCGGGGCAGCAAATAGTAGGAAATCCTATTTGCTGCGGTTACGAACCGCAGCAAATAACTATTTTTTAAAAAATGAATTTTGACTTATTGTTGCGGTTCCGAACCGCAGCAAATAGATATTTTTAGAAAATGATTTTTGACTTTTTGGTGCGGTTCGGAACCGCAGCAAATACATTATTTAAAAAAATGAATTTTGACTTTTTTAAAAATTCATAATAGATTGTATTCTTAACTGCAACAAAAACTTTTAAAAATTCATATTGTTTTTGTTTTGTTATACTACCAGTATTCAGTGTTTTAACCCAAAACATATCATGTAAATTAAATAAGAAAACAATCATTTCTACAATATTAGTATCTCACAACAGAAATCAAAATCACACTTCCAAAAGAGATAAGTTATACATCAATAAAATTCGTAATTCATACAATTGAGTGTCAATAGTAACAACAATAATTGCAATAATCTAATAGGCCTAATTTGGTCAAGGGGGGCTTGAATATACAATTGCAACCCGGGAGCTGACATTGATCCAGAACCATGGCTATGCCTGTATGGCCAGCTTTGTACCTACAAGCATATGAAAAATCAATTAGTGCTTTATCAACCCTCTTACATGTATAAGGCTCCATTTGGTTAGAGGAAAATATTTATTTGAAACATCAATTAGTACTTAATCAATGTAAGGTTCTTAAGTAGTTGACAATGTTTTTATCTTGAGTAGAATCTGAAGTAACTAGCGTGAGATATGTGATGACCTCGAATAAGTCAGTCAAACAAGCACCTAAACTACAGAAGCAACTTACAAGTTCACACATTTCATAGAAAGAAAGTCCACCACCATAACTGGAATGTTCTGTTCTTCAAGATGAAAACTCTTACCAGAGCGTTCTTGATTTCCTGAAGAAACTTTGAAAGTGCAGAATCAGATTGTTGTCATATTTCATGGATGAATATATACTTAGCATATTAAATAAACCTGCAGTTGATCACATCAAGAAAACCAATGTGTTACATAAAGCATACATTAAACTCCATGTAGTTCTAGGCAGCAAGTAAGCATAATAATGTCAATTATATACTCTGTATTATGATGTGGATGTACTTTTTATTTATTTATAAAGTTCATACACTATAAAGTAATATTTTGTACATAGTAAAAGTGGCAGGATAGCTATTCTTCACCTGATAAAAGGTACTAAATAATATAAATAAACACTAAAATGAAAATTGTTAATCCATTAAGAAAAACGGAAGCACATGAAAGAGAAAATGAACAATAAGAAAGTTGATATCAAGGGTGGATTACCAATTGAAGCTAAATGTTGCTTCCTCTTTGATACTTTTTTCCCTTGCTCATAGGCTTTTTTTATTCCAAGTTATGTGTTTCCCAATCCCAACCAGTCTCCCTGTTTTCTGCAGCAAGGCGCTCTTCAAAACTGGTCCGATGAATCACAAAAAATAAATCAGTTTGCCAAGTGATGCATTTCTGTGGTGGTTTCAAATAATGAAAAACAATATGCAAGCTAATGTATTCTCCTTGATTCCAAATCTCAATATTTCAGCTATTATGAACTTTTACACACTTAGTGGTCCAACTAAATTAACATTTGTAACAACTAAAGAAGGTATCATATATGTCCACTTACTTTTTGAAAACACTGAATCCATCCATTTTAGCAACTTTATTACCTGGCATAGCAAATCATTTTCTGAAAAAATAAATAAGAAAATTGACAATCTGAAAAAAGAAATAAGAAAATTGACAATTCGGAAAAAATATAAGGCTGGTGATACAATTACTGAGAGAGTCTCTAATTGTATTCAATAATAGATAATAGTGTAGGGATATTTGGGTTTCGATTTCACTGGCCATAGCCATTCGTTTCATAAGGCCATCACCCTCTACAAACTGTGGCAATGACAAATTTGCTAGAACTGAACCAGAAGGTTGGGCATGGACAACAACCTTATCTAGTTCCTTCCTCCTCCTTAGCCTCTCAGTCTCTTCTTTGATTTTTTCAGATTCGTCCAAGTGAGGGCAAGATTACTGGTGCTTACGTGAAGATATGGATACACTAGCTATACTGATGCTAACTTAATCTTTTCTTATACATGATCAATTCAATTAAAAAACATTTTTTATCTATAATAAAACGAACTAGTGTTCGAACTCAATAGAAAAAAGTAACTAGAATAAAGCAAAGGTTGCATATTAAGTTAAGGTAGAACACTTCATATCAAATTGAATGTGTAGAAGATAAATAGAGATCCGTACGTCGTCCAGATCGAGTGATCACCGAAGCGAATTAGTGCTTACCTACAGTTATTGAAAATCAACTGGCCGGCCAGTACATCTCAACGTCTCAGGCCAGAAAATCAACAAACCAGCCAATACATCCTTCTGCCTCCACCTAGCAAAATGAATTCGACCTCTTCCGCCACCCGATCTGATCCTCTCCAGCAAAAGAAGGCGTGAGGCGGCGTTGATAGGTGGAGGCGCGAGACAGCGTTGATAGATGGAGGCGTGAGGCGGCGTTGCTAGGTGTAGGCGCGAGGCGGCGTTGCTAGGTGGAGGCGCGAGACGGCGTTGCTAGGTAGAGACGCGAGTCGGCGTTGCTAGGTGGAGGCGCGAGGCGGCGGGGTCGCGAGCTGGTGGCGGTGCGAGACGGAGGCGATACGCAGTGGTGAGATTCAAGAGTCGAAGGGTTTGCCTTTGGGTGCGGGAGGGAAGAGCATGGGAGGCGATACGCAGTGGTGATATAATAGGATGTCGATAAACGAAGCTCATTTGACCTAGCAAATAATCAAAAGTAAATTACGTATTTGTGCCTCCAATTGTAGCTAAAAAGTCAATTTGCTGCGTTTTATATTTGACCGAAGCAATTAACCAAAAATATATACCATTAGTTGCGGTTCTCCGCTACCCGCAGCAAAAACATAAAAAAAAATTAAAATTAGAAATATTATAAGTATTTGCTGCGGTTTTGATATGAACGCAGCAAAAAGTATCAAATTCCCAACTTTTTGCTGCGGTTGTATTAGAACCACAGCAAATACTTATAAATTTTGCCTATTTGCTGCGGTTTATCTAAAAACTGCAGCAATTGGGTAGCAGCAAATAAGGAAAATTCTAGTAGTGATGGCAGAGTGATATTCAGTTATCTGTCTTGAAAGGCGAATCTCCTCTGTTGTTTCTCAAGAATTATCTAGAAAATACTTATTCACACTGTAATTTAAAGAAATCTAGAAATATAATATCCAAAAGAATGAAAAGATGATCCGTCCATTTCCATTTCTATTTCTATTTCAGCGGAAAAGTAACTACTGCACTATTTTGTGTAGGGTGATTTGTTCATCTTAAGCAGTCAAGTTCAGCGTTTGGAGAAAATCGGGTTGATAAGACAAAAAAGTGGGTTACTATGTTTTTCTAATTCATTTAAAAAATTGAATGAAACTGTGTTTTTATATCCATTACATTAAATTTTATAAAATTACAAAGCATAAGTTTTTTTTTTTTTTTCATTTCTTAAAAATATATTAGTATGGTAGCAGTTTTGCCTAACACTGGAGGGAAAGAATAAAAAAAAGCACACTGAATAGATTAACAGTGATCCAAGACAAGAAAAGAATAATAGAATATGTAGGGCAATGAAGAAGAATACATACAATACCTTTTTAAACCACAATTTCCAAGTAACTTACCTTTCCAAAGAATCTCAATGAGTTTAAAAGGAAAAACACGAACTTAATGGCCCCCAATCTTCAAAAATTTCTTTCCTGAACCCTCAAATAGTCTCATTCAAGATTTAACAAGTTTGGGGGGAGATGGGGGGAAGAACAATGGTGATGATGGTCATCCTTGTGATGGCATGTGCTTCTTTCGGTTCCGGGTCCACCGATCAGCACCGGAAATGGACATGGATTTCATCAGGTTCTGATGGATCATCCTCGCCCTCGTCCTCGTCCTCATCACCACCGGTTTACACTCAAGCAGGACCGTCTTCAATTGTTCTGCCGCTCTATGGCAACGTTTACCCCAAGGGGTATGTGATTCTACTTCTCTGTGTTCCTGTTTGCTTTATCATGCACACACACTTACTTAAACATACATGCATATATGCAATGGCGTATCCAGAAATTTTTGTCGGTGGGGGCGGACTGGCACTAACTACCTCACATGTCATAAACAACCACATTAAGATAAAATAGTGTAAAATCAAATAAAAAACAAAATATTCGTGGGACAAAAATATTACTCCGTACGATATACTCCCTCCGTCCCCATAAGTTTGTCTCGTTTTACCTTTTCCGTCCGTCCCACTAAGTTTGTCCCATACCATATTTGGTAACATTTGAGTGGTTAGAATTCATTCTTACTTTATTTACACTTTATCAATTCAATACCAACCACACAATTCCACTTTTTCTTAAAAACCACACCACACCCCTCCGTCCCAAACTTAGGGGGACGGAGGGAGTAATACTTAAAAGTTTCACGGAAGATAATTTTTTACTTTGCTAAAAATAAATTTTAATCACATATTTTGTAATTTATTCAAAATTATTTTAGCAATAAGAATCAAATAAGAAATGAGTCAAATATTTATTTAGAATTAACTTAAGTAACGAATGCACAAGTATGTTTAAAAATCTATTTATATTAAATGTGAGAATGTAATTGTAAAACTTCACAAATTATATGCAAATTTTTTAACTGTAATTAAATTGAAATAGTTCAAAGTAAGCCAAAATTTAAATACAATGTAAAAGTAACTTTAAATTGGTTTAGAGCTCTAGTAAAAAAAACTAAAAAAGTAATTTAGAGATCTTGTAAAAAAAAGTAGTTTAGAGCTCTCAGTAAAAAAAAGAGTAGTTTAGAGCTTCAAATAGTAAAACAAAACAAAAAAGGTTGAGAAGATGAGAGTCAAACTCTAGACCAAGCAGGAAATCTGAAACACGGACCACCTACAACACCACTCCACTGCAGCCTATGTAGCACCGATACCGGTACGCGGAAACGGGTACGAGGATACGTCAAAACAAAAAAAAAGTAGGGTACGGATACGGGGCCATATTTATAAATATTAAAAGTTATGGGGGTGTATTTACAAATATTAAAAGTTACAGGGGTCTATTTATAAATATTAAAAATAAATATTTTTTGAAAATACACACACACACACACATATATTCATTGCATTAAAACATTTTCCATTTTCAAGATACTTAGTAATAAATTCATAATATTTCTCATATACACTAGTGCATCTCGAAATATAAATATAGTCAATAAGTCATTAATTTAAAATGAGAAATAAGTCTAACAACTACAATCTTGAAATTAAAAGTGCAAGTACCCAATTTGGAGTATGAGTTAATGACTTAATTCGGATATAGTCATATAGGCCCATTATTTGATTACCAAGTAAAATGTAGTTTTAGATTTTCATATTTTTTAGAATTTTATTAAGTAAATTTTGAGATTTTGTTTTTTTAAAAAAATTGATACGGGTATCCGTCAGGATACGAGTATCGGAAACTTTCAAAAAATTACAAAAAAAATGGAAACTTTTAAAAATTGCAGATACGGCCTGGGAACGTACGGTACGAGTATCCTAGAGTATCAGATACGGGAACGTATCGGATACGCCGATACGCTACCCTAGGGAAGTATCTGTGCTTCATAGACTGCAGCTTCTGATATGTTATTTAGTTCGTTTAAAACATATAAGTTACTCTTATTAATACCTATATATATATATATATATATATATATATATATAATTTTATATTTGATATATATATATATAGGGTATGGTTCATGTGAGAACACTCTCTTAGGAGAGAAATGAGAACAAATCTTGATCATTTAAAATCTCAAATCAATGATATTAGATCATTAACGAAACGGTGGCATAATTGAAAATTTACCCAACTTCAAATCACTAACGGAGAGTTAATCACGTCAAACTAACTGAGAAATTAACAATGAGTAAATAGTGCTCCGTAACTGAAAAATTAGCAATGAGTAACCTATAAGTCATATATGCTTTCCATTAAATCTGCTTACGTCACTTTCCATTTAGATGCTTTCCACTAACGGATATGCTTGGTTGTGTTAATATCCACCATATTTTATTAATACTACTTCGTACAATTTACTATTTGTTTTCTTATTAACTACAACATATTATGTATATATTTCATCTATATATTGTGCACCTTTTTGTTATCACGATGCACTTTCATAAATATTTTTCTTTTCCAAACCTTTTTGTGCATTTATATTATTTTTATAGTGCGGAACTTTAAAAGTGTACTCATCATTTATCATGTCAAATAAACTTATGATTGGTTAGGGTATGATTTTGGTGGGATTTTTGAAGTGATAAATGAGAATGACCTAAAACGTGTGATGCACATTTTAGTTAATGATGTTGCACATTTGAGGTAAACATAATGCAAACTGGTATAACAATTTGATTTGTTGTTGTTGTTATTATTATTATTATTACTATTATTATTATTATTATTGTTATTATTATTGTTATTATTATTGTTATTGTTATTGTTATTGTTGTTGTTGTTATTATTATTATTATTATTATTATTATTATTATTATTATTATTATTATTATTATTATTATTATTATTATTATTATTATTATTATTATTATTATTATTATTATTATTATTATTATTATTATTATTATTATTATTATTATTATTATTATTATTATTATTATTATTATTATTATTATTATTATTATTATTATTATTATTATTATTATTATTATTATTATTATTAACATATGAGAATGATGTAAAACGATACACATCTTGGTAAATGATGTTGCACATTTACGGTAAACATAATGCACATTTTGAAGTGGTATAACAATTTAATTTATTTTAAAATGTAGTTGCACTTTGTGATTCATGACAAACACATTTTTTTTCAAATCATGTGCAATTGTTACGATCAAAATTATTCTCATTTCTCTTTTAGGATATGATTTTGGAGGCAGCGATTTCTCACGTGATAAATGAGAATGACCTAAAACGATGCAAGTCTAGGTTAATGATGTTGCACATTTATGGTAAACGTGATGCACAATTTAAAGTAATATAACAATTTAATGTATTTGAAAATGTAGATGCACTTTGTAATTGATGACAAACAATTTTATTCCCAAACCATGCACAATTGTTAACGATTAGACTCATTTTCATTTCTATTTTAAAATATGATTTTGATGGGAACAATTTCTTATGTGACAAAATGAAATGACCTAAAATGATGCACATCTTGGTTAATGATGTTGCATATTTATGGTTAAAATAATGCACAATTCAAAGTGGTATAACAATTTAATTTATTTAAAATTGTGGCTGCACTTTGTGATTGATAGCAATGCACATTTTTGTTTCACATCATGCATAGTTTTTGACGATCAGATTCATTCTCGGTTTTCTTTTAGATCGATGTCTTATTTTATTCAAACTCTATTAATTATATCATTTAGTGTTTTAATATAGTTATTATCGAACTATCGATTGTGATAACTGAGTAATTAATTCTATTATTCATGCATTGCAACCAAAATAATTGTACATTTACATTGTGTCAAATGAACAATTGTGCACATTCATAATTTCAAGTTAATTTCATCATTTTTATTATTGCTAGCTTAACATGTATGCACTTTTAACAATATTGTTGTGTAATTTTTCAGTGAGCTATGCACATTTATTCAACTATTGTGCACCTTACTCTATCTTTTTTACAATACACATTTTGAAAAATAACTTGTTACGATCTAAAGACTAAGAGGCTTATTATTATTATTATTATTATTATTATTATTATTATTATTATTATTATTATTATTATTATTATTATTATTATTATTATTATTATTTTAAATGAAACTAAAAATTATTATTAAATAATAATCATATGAAAATGCACCATCATACGTAAAATGTGAAAACCAAATAAAAAGGTTTTGAAAGAATATAGCTATTGACAATGAATTACATAAACTAATACATTAAATAATTATCTAAATACTCCTTAGTTCCGTAGGTTAAATACTCCTTAGTGGAGAGAGCAATTAAATGTACCTCTATAAAAAGAAATTTTGACCAAAAAGTTGACTTGCAATTATTATCAAGTTGAAAAATAAAAGCTATCAGTATCGAAGTTACGTAACAACACGGTAATACGGAGTACATAGAAATGTGGAGCATCCTAAAATATAATAACGGCGCGTCCACTTATGCCGTTAATACTAAAACGGTATCTTATTAGATCATACGAAATTAATGGTAGAGATGCATTCTTATTTCTCTCCTTAGATGATATTCTCATTTGATCCAAACTCTATATATATATATATATATATATATAGGGAGCGGTTCCGGTGAGAAAGGATTCCCAGGAGAGAAATGAGAACATATGATCACCGTTGAGATCCTTTATCCGATGGCCAATTTTTACAATTCAATTAAGAACTAAAATCCCGAAAATCAAGGGATTAGTAATGGAGCTCAATAAATTTTGCAATACGTTAATACATTAGGGGCATCTATGTAATCTTAACCTCCACATGCAATAAATTATACGGAGTAATGTGGAAGTTTTAATTAGCTTGACAAATTTAGAGCCCGTTTGGTAGCATCAAAATCGGCTGTTTTGGCTGATTCTGCTGAAATTTATGATATTCTGGCTGGAGTGGCTGTTTTGGCTGATTCTGCTGATTTAAGAAAAAAATATTTTAAAAATATATTTTATTAATAAATTAAAGAAAAAATTATATGTAAAAATATCTAAAATGGTCCTCTACAGTAACTTCAGCCAATACAGCCAGAAAAGTAACTCCAACCTTACTTTTTCGGCTTATTACACAATTCAGCGCGCGAAAGTAAAAGTTACGTGTTTGGTGAAAAAGCTGGCTGATAAGCCTGATAAGCCGAAAAAGAGTTCTCCAAACGGGCTCTTACAAGCATTCAAATTCATAGTAACACGTGGGCTTTACCGCTTTAATTTGTCAAATCTTCCACCAAGACACTCTTTCATACCACCAAGACACTCTTTCATTTTTTTTTACGAAAACGTATTTCTTTTTTAATTAGAAGTTCGAATTTCAATTTTTTTTTTAATTTTTTGCATTAATCAGGCAATTTTATTTCAAATTAAATATCTCCTCATAAGTATTAAACATCATTGAGTCAAACGTTGCACTACAATTTTGTATACATGCACTTTTATTAAAAACAATATGCACAAGTAATATCAATTGTTAAATATTTGAATTCTTAACAAATAGTCATCTTAATAATCGACACTCTTTAACTTGCACTTTCTAAAGATTACACTGCACTTTAAACATGCATGTGTGCACTTCCATACATTTGTAATCATAATGATTTAAAATAAATGAAAGTAAATATACATGCAAATTAAATGTATAGAAAACAACAGTATGATATCATGCTTTATAAACTTCTAAATTAATCCTTTTTATAAAATGAAATACATTGTAATAATGTGTGCATCATTACATAAACAAAAATGCACTATTATATTGCACCTTATAAACTTTTATATATGCACTTTTCACAAAAGGAAATGCACCTTTCTTTCTTTCTTGCTCCATCCATTTTAGTGCAATCATAATAATGAGAAAGTGAAACATACATAATTGTGTGAGTGCATAAAAAATTATAGAATATAATACAGTAGCAAACTGACAGTGCATTAAATAATTCGTGTGAGTGCACTTATGGTTAGTTAAAAAGGAATATCATAGCATACAAAAACTAAATAACATGACATAAAAGAAATCAAATTTTGGATAAAAAATTGAAAGTAAGAACTTGTATTTTAGTGCAAGTAAACGAAATGGTTAAAAATATAAACACATATCCAAAAATAATATTGTAAAACAAAATGTGCATTACATAAAACAGTTTAGTGCATCGTAATAAGAAACTCAGTGCAATTAAAGTAATACGTTTGTTTAATTCAGCAAAAACTTCTATATACAAACAAAAAAAATATATCCAGGAATAAATATATGTAGGCATATAGCCCATAAAAATCACAAAATGGAAAAGTGACATGAAACCCATAAGCTAGATAGCATCTCCGTAGGTAGCTAAGTTAATTAAGAAAAAGTTGAATTCATTAATATAATTCATATCTAGAAAACGCTTTGGGTGGATAAGGAACAAGTTATGGTGGAAGTCAAGACAGAAAAATACTCTGTACATAGCGTGAGAAAGACATTGATAAGGAAACAAATTGGTGAAAACCAATTAAGGAAAGAAACGTGAAATGTAATCAAAATTAAAAAGTCATAAATACCCTATGGGAGTATAAATCACACGAGTGAATTAGGATGAGATCCAATGGATAGTATTTATTCTTATTTCTCTCCTAAGATGTCTTTCTCACTTGATCCTATATATATATAGGGGTCGGGTGGGGGTTGAGGGGGGGAGCTGCCCCCTGCCCCCACGCTGCATCCGCCACTGCATATATGCACACACACACACATATATATATATATATATATATATGTACATACGGACATACAAGTGTGTGTGTGTCTATATATGTGCCCACGTACATAGATACATACTTATATGTGTTTGAGTCTGTCTATACGTACATACATGATACACTACATATATAAGCCCAAGAATCTGAAGTATAATGTCATAAAGAATTTGTTAGGTAAGTGCATGAATTTCGTCAGATAATGTGATTGTTGTGGATTCTCTCAATGGAAAGAGTATGATTTGCAAAGATTGTTTTCATTAATGTCACATATATTGCTTAAAGGGAATTGAATATTTATCTCTCAGATTTTATTTTGTCCAAGTGGATGTTGGGCACCCTTCAAAGCCTTATTTTCTTGATCCGGATACAGGAAGTGACCTTACTTGGCTTCAATGCGATGCTCCCTGTGTCCATTGTACAAGGGTATAACATAATTGTCTTATTACATTTCTACAACATGATATAGACATACCTCATTTTTGCTTTTCATAATGAGAGAAGTATTTCAATCCTTCAAATCCCAGACACATCACCCTTTCTACAAGCCCAACAATGACCTTGTGATTTGCAAGGACCCCCTTTGTGCCTCTCTGCATCCAGCTGATTATAAATGTGACACTCTAGAGCAATGTGATTATGAGGTCGAGTATGCTGATGGCGGTTCATCTCTCGGTGTCTTGCTCAATGATGTCTTTTCTCTTAATCTTACCAGTGGGGTCGCGGTTAAACCTCATCTGGCTCTCGGGTCAGTATCTTCCTTAATCTCATGAAGCCCATGAGTTTTAGATTTTAGACATATTAAGGTGTTTTTATGCTTCCAATTTGAACCAGGTGCGGATATGATCAGATACACGGTCCATCTCACCACCCTTCAGACGGGGTACTTGGCTTTGGAAAAGGAAAAACCAGCATTCTATCTCAGCTAAAGAACCTTGGTCTGGTGAGAAACGTGGTTGGCCACTGCTTGAGTTCACGAGGTGGAGGGTATCTCTTCCTTGGGGATGATGTTTATGACGCTTCTCGTGTCACTTGGACACCAATGTCACATGATATCACGTAATGTGCACTTCTCCTATGCAAACACCCCCATCCCATCCTAAGTAAAGCAATGAAAAGCAAAATGGTGAGTTTTGAGTCTAAATATGAGAAGGTAAAAATGACAGGAATCACTATGCTCCAGGGCCCGCAGAACTACTTTTTGGCAGTAAAAGTACCGGAGTAAAGAATCTACATGTGGTGTTTGACAGCGGGAGCTCTTTTAGCTATTTAAATACGCAACCGTATGAAGCTTTACTTTATTCAGTAAGTTCTTACATTCGTTCTTCCCCCGGAGCTTCTTCCTTTTCATTTCATGACCATGAGTGGTGCCACTTGTTCTGGTAGCTGGAGAAAGAACTGAGAGGTAAGCCCCTAAAAGAAGCAGATGATGACCCAACTCTACCCTTATGCTGGAAGGGAAGGAAGCCTTTCATGAGCATCAGCGAAGTCAAGAAATACTTCAAGTCCTTCTCACTCAGCTTTGCCGGTGGATGGAAATCCAAAACTCTGTTTGAGATCCCCCTGAGTCATATCTTATCATCTCAGTAAGTGCTTGTAATTAACACTTTCTAAGGGCTTGTCTGGTTTTGGGATTACAGAGGGGTGGAAGGGGAAGGGCATTATATTTCTTGATCAAATTAGTATTATCTCTACATTTAGATGGTTGCCCATAAAGTGAAGTTAAAAAACTATATAGACACACATGAGCTAACTAATCACAGTTATTTGTAGTCTTAAACTAAGAATAGACAAGTTGGTAAAAATAAAATCAAACCATCCCCTTTCGTTCCCTCCGAAATCCATGAACCAAACGAGCCCTTAAATCTTATACTTATACTTGTATGGTATTGTGGCAGTCAAAGGGCAGTGTATGCATGGGAGTTCTGAACGGCACTGAAGCAGGACTGCAAAATTTCAACATAATAGGAGGTATGATATTTCAACTCTTCAATTGCTTGGATAATACAGAATGGAACACGGAACACTGGCTTAAAGAAAAAGCTGAATCCTTGCTTTGGGTTTGTGAAACAAATTTTAAGTATTTACTTAAAATTGATCGCGAATAATAAAATGTGAGAATATCGGGTACAATCTCTAAATATGAATCCTCTGATTCTTCACTTGCAATTTGATATGAATATAATTAAAGAATTTAATTAATAATTAAAGAATTTAATTAAAAATTAAATCTCTAATTCTTCAAATATTTGAACGTTCTACGGATCTTCGAATCTTCGTTCTTGAGATCTTCGAACCTTCGTTCTTTGGATCTTCAAATCTTCTTGAATAAAGAATTCAGCTTAAAGGGCCTCCGGTTTTCAAGTGGCTTGATCTTCAACAAAAGGGCCGTTTTATGACTTGATCTTTTGTTGAAGGGCCTCCCGGGATATATGGCTTGATCTTCAGTTGAATCTTGATTCAATTTTCATATGAATATCTTCAAATCTTCAAAGATTCGTTCTTCATATCTTCGAATCTTCAAAGCTTCGTTCTTCAGATCTTCGAATCTTCGAGCTTCGTTCTTCAGATCTTCGAACGTTCTTCAACTTTTTTCTTTGTTTTTATCAAGAATAGATGAAATCACAAAGGATTAATCATATATTCTTGACAAAAAACGTGGCTTGATATCTTCCGATGCTTCGGAATCCTTCAGAGCCTTTCGGGAGTTCTTCAGAGCTTTTCTGCAGCGTTTCTTCGTCTGGAAGTTCTCCTCCATTCCTCTCAACTGAGACCCCTATTTATAGGTGTGGAGGGGGTGAAAATATGGCTTTAGGGTTCCCAAAATTCGTCCATATTATGTGGGCCCTAATTAAAATGGGTTTTGGGCTCTATTTGCTTGCATTTAATAGCTAGAAAAATCAGCACTTATATAATGTATCTGGACAACCTTTTTAACAAGGTTCGCAGCCACTTTCCATGCATACAGACATATTTCTTAATCAGATTCATTGCTCTCTTTATCAATTGGGTATATCTCTTATTATACTGGGCCACAATTTAGTAATGGGCTCAAAATTAATAGGATCGGTCCATTCTTTTAAAGATTTAATTCATAATTAAATTAATTGGATATTTTGAATGATCCAAATTAATTGAATTAATAAATTTTATCTCCAGAGATCCATAACACTATTTCCTTCTTGATAAGGCCCAACAACCATCACGGTATCAGTTCACCGGAATCTAATGCTGGCCCAGTTGCACTTCAAAAAGACATAATGATAATCTGAATCGGCCCAATATTTTTTATATGTCTACAAATGCCCCCTCGAGACTTGCTTGAATGTCTCAGACGAGTGAAAAGGAAGTCTCGACATACGTTGACAAAAATCACTTATATTGATTTAAGACGTGATCATCCCTGTAAGGCTCTTAACCAAGCAGGCCCAAAACTTTCAAAGTTTATGACCAAGAATTAAACTCACCCGGAAGTCCGTTTAAAGTTTACTCCGTATTATTTTGCAAAGCTGATCCAAATGATAAAATAGCTTTAAAGCACACGTAGCTTAAAAATGTGTCTGCTAGCCAATTAATTCAACCAATCGGCTCATTGAATCTAAGCCTTCTAAAATTTCTACAGAGTACGGAGTACAATTCTTTTGTCATTCGAATTGAAGAGTTCTAGTTGAACTCTTATCATCCAAAGAAATGTATTCCCGGTAGAACTCATTCTGTGTTCTATCTGGGCTGCCTTACTACTCCGTATTTAATGTTATAAATAGCGGACGATATCAGTATCTTCCTTCAGCAGATCTCAATATTCAGCAAGAAAAATATCCATAAGGTAACTTTGACTGTATCCTTCCCTCTTTTATTTTCTTTCGTTGCTTTTCTCTTGTAGAATGCAGGGACGAATTTCGAGATTGCAGGGAAGAATTGCCGGAGGCAAACATCAGCCGTACCAAAATTCATCTCAGTTGATCAATATCAGCTCCCAATCGGCGTGAGAAGTCTTGGAGGCTCGTTTGTTTCCGCCAATTAATCTGGGGGGAAAGCAGAGGTTTTCAATTGTTGCTCCAGTACTAAGAAGCGAAGAGGAGCCTGGCTCCCGATATCGTCTGAGAGCAAGATCTTGCTGCCGCCGCTGGTTCGATGAGTGATTGAGAACTTAATCTGTCAGAATTGTTGCTGCTATACGTTCTTGGAAGATCAGATGTCCATGGCAGCCGCTGTCGTTAATTGGAAGCTGAGGCTGTGCCGGAGGAGATGACGGAGTTGATTTTGTCGCTGGCGCCGTTCGCTGGAGAGAGTTTTCTTCGCGCTTATGTTAGCCGATGAACTCGATGGCTAGGCTGCTGGACTCCCTTGCGTGAAGATGACCAGGGATGGGATCTGGCTATGAAGATTGGGCTTTTGGGCTAGCTTTATCAATTGGGCTCCAAATGAGCTAGAAAATAATAAGGACATCCGATTTTATACTACTTCGAGGTCTTTGATCATGGCGTCACTTATTGAAGAGGAAGGAGTTTGACCAATTGCCGGTTGTTGGTGTCACTTGGGACCCTTTGTTGGGATGACACCGATTTAAGGAATCAGGCCGATTCCCGATTGTCGGTGCCGCTTAGCCCTTTGTTGGGATGGCACCGATTTAAGGAATTAAGCTGATTTATGATCGTCGGTTGTAGGTGCCGCTTAGCCCTTTGTTGGGATGGCGCTGATTTGAAGAATTAAGCCGATTTCCGATCATCGGTGCCGCTTAGCCCTTTGTTGGGATGGCACTGATTTAAAGGATTAGGCTGATTCTTGATCGTCGGTGCTTCTTAGCCCTTTGTTGGGATGACACCGATTTGAAGAATTGGGCCGGTTCCCGATCGTCAGTGCTGCTTAGCCCTTTGTTGGGATGGCGCTGATTTAGGGAATTAGGTCGGTTGCTGATTGTCGATGCTGCTTAGCCCTTTGTTGGGATGACACCGATTTGAAGAATTAGGCTGATTCCCGATCGTCGGTGCTGCTTAGCCCTTTGTTGGGATGGCACTGATTTAAGGAATTAGGTCGGTTGCTGATTGTCGATGCTGCTTAGCCCTTTGTTGGGATGGCCCCGATTTGAAGAATTAGACCGATTCCTAATCGTCGCTGCTGCTTAGCCCTTTGTTGGGATGGCACCGATTTAAGGAATTAAGCCGATTTCCGATCGTTGGTGCCGCTTAGCCCTTTGTTGGGATGGCACCAATTTAAAGGATTAGGCCGATTCCCGATTGCCGGTGCTGCTTAGCCCTTTGTTGGGATGACACCGATTTGAAGGATTAGACCCCTTGCCGATCGTCGGTGCTGCTTAGCCCTTTGTTGGGATGGCACCGATTTAAGGAATTAGGTCAGTTGCTGATTGTCGGTGCTGCTTAGCCCTTTGTTGGGATGGTGCCGATTTGAAGAATTAGGCCGATTCTTTATTGTCGGTGCTGCTTAGCCCTTTGTTGGGATGACACTGATTTAAGGAATTAGGTCGGTTGTTGATTGTCAGTGCTGCTTAGCCCTTTGTTGGGATGGCACCGATTTGAAGAATTAGACCGATTCCCGATCGTCGCTGCTGCTTAGCCCTTTGTTGGGATAGCACCGATTTAAAGAATTAGGCCGATTCCCGATTGTCGGTGCTGCTTAGCCCTTTGTTGGGATGGCACCGATTTAGGGAATTAAGCCGATTCTCGATCGACGGTGCGAAGACCGGCCACTTTGTCGATTTGAAGATCGGCTATTTTGTCAATATGAAGATCGAAGTGGCATGGGATAGTGGCCCCATGCTCATTGAGGAGATTGACGTCAGAGGTCAATGGATAGAGATGTCGGAGCAGCTGCTGGCTAGAGCTTTGTTGATGCGGCAAAGAGAAGTTTCATGGAGCTTGAAGCGGTTTTGTCAGAGCTTGAAGCGGTCTTGCTGGAGCTTGAAGCGGTTTTGTAGGAGTTTGTAGCGGTCTTTCCAGAGCTTAAAGCTATCTTGTTGAAGCTTGAATCGGCCTAATAGGAGCTTGTAGCGGCAGGAGTTTGTAGCGGTCCAGCAGGAGCTTGTAGCAGTCTGATAGGAGCTTGTAGCAGCAGGAGCTTGCAGCGGTCCAGCAGGAGCTTGTAGCGGTCCGGCAGGAGCTTGTAGCTGTCTTACCAGTTTTGCCGATTACAAACGATGATGTTTCCCTTTATCCTTGTGAAGAAGATGACACTGCCGGTTCAAAGCTTTAGAGGCACCATCAATGCTACTCACATCGGCGCCACCTGTTCCGTTGTTGGGATGATGGTGTTGTTGTGGAGACGCCGTTCGAAGCTCAACTCAATCCACTTCCGATGAGGAGGAGATCAAAGAATTCCTTATGCCTTCGCCGTTCATCTAACTTTTTTTGTAAGCCTTTTTCTGACATTTTTTTTTGAAAAAAATGACTTGATTGGGATTTATTTTGTTATAACTGAACTCAAAAATGAAACTTTTGAGCTGCCTACGTACTCCTGTGAAGGAGATCAAGTCAAACATAGTTCAAAGTACCATTTGAATAGGTAATTTCAAGGGGTGGGGTGCCGCACACAGTTTTAACTCATGCGAGCCAGGAGCTTGCCGTACACATTTTAAACTCTCGTGGGCCAAGAGTATCTATGATTATGCTCACCCATAGACAAAGTGAGATGTTTTAGCAGTTTAGCCACTTACAACATCATTGGTGGTTTAAGCCTTTCAACACTTTATTTGACATATCAAGGGTACTGAATCTTCATATTGGTCTTCATATTGACCATGGGTGTGCACAATGGTCACTGGTTTGACTTTAAATGCATTCCCATAGGTCACTTTCACATCAGTTTCTCGTTTCATACGAGATGGGATAAAACTTCTATACTCATTAAGACTTTGCTTTTCGAGAGGAACTTTAGCAGATGTATTGCGTTCATGTTTCAATCCCAATCGTTCATGAACAGACGTTCTCTTGAAGTTTTGTCCCGTGCATGTGTCTTCAACGCGTTTCATCATCATTGAGCTCGTTCCAAGCCGTTCTTGTAAAGTCTTCTTCATGATCTTCTTTGGATTTGGCCCCATTCTGTCAAAGATGGCGGGTCTTGATCTTGCCTCCCCAATCCGATCAAAGACAGAATACTTCGGCTTAGAAGTCACTTCGTCTTCTTCATCAACACTAATATGATGCGTTGCAGCTCTATTTATGAGGATCCTTATGGGTTTCGGCTGAATATAACTCAATCCTGTGTGCCCTTGAAGATCGATCTGCTTCGGTTTTCCTTCACCATCAGCTTTCGGAATGAGTTTTCCCAAAATCGGTTCGTTGGGATTATACCCAACCTTGGCCAGAAGTTTGTATGCGTTTGGATTAAATCCTTCATTTGTGCGTGCTTTAGGGAGCTGAAATGCCTTAACATCATTCATACTTTTTACTTCCTCCTCAGATGTGTTTTGAGGAGGCTTTGATATTTCAATCTTTGCAAGAGGGAATGTAAGCCCTTCAACGCCTTCAACAAGCTTTCCTTTCAGCTTTGGTCCAATCAAGGGGCGATATTCTTCCTCTTGTCTAGCATTGTCATCTTTAGAAATTTTGGTCTTTAGGTAAAACTTCGCATCTGCAAAGTATGTCTCGGCTTTTGTGAATGGAGTTTCATCGGCCACTACCTTCTTTACAACGCCATTTTGCTCATACATGAAGCATTGGTGCCATGTTGAAGGGATTACACCGTTCTCATGGATCCATGGGCGTCCTAGAAGGAGATTGTATGAAGCCTTTGCATCAATCACATGGCATAGAGTGTTTGCCTTCAGTCCGTCGATGATCAAATCAAGACATATCATTCCAATCGCCCTTTGCCCCCCTTGATTGAAGCCTTGAATCATCAAGCGGCTTTGGGAGAGTTCATCCATTGATATATCAAGGTCTTTCATAGCTCGAACCGTCAGAATATTAACGGCAGACCCTTGATCAATCATAATTCTTTTCAATCTTTGTCCACGAGTGTATCCTTCAACAAAAAGCGGACGGTTATGGGGAGTAGCACCCAACATGAGATCTTCGTCTTTAAAGACAATGTCAGTGACGTATGAAGTAGATTTTTGTGCTTCGTCCACTTCTTTCTTAGTCGACACTAGAGATGGACATCCACTTGAACTCTCAACTTCTTCTTCATGGGTGCTAAGACAAGAACTTGAAATTTGAGTCATCTCATTCTTGAAATCCTTTGGCATAAAATCGTTGAGAGTAATCACCCTTCGTGCAGTCTTGGAACGAACACGATCCTTCTTTTGTTTCTTTTGCTTTAACTCGTTTATCAGTTGTTTCCTGACCCAATTCTTTACCACTTTCCTCGGTTGTGGCTTAGGTTTGTGGTTCTTCTTTTGTTTCTTTTGGGTTAGCAAGATCCATGGTCTTCCTTTGTCATTAACATCTTCCAGTGCCATTCTTTTAGTAAGAGAAGGATATTCTTTCATTCCCTTAACAGTAAAAGGAAGTCTTCGATTTTGAGAGATCTTTCTCTCTTCTTTTGGTTCATCTTTGACTATGAGTGGAGAAAACCTACCAAAAGTGATGGCAATTTGGTTTGTGCTTGCAGCAGAATCATCGAGCTCAATCTTTCCTTCACGAGCCAGGGACATAATTTTATCTTTAAGCACCCAACACTTCTCGGTGGGGTGACTAAGAATTCGATGATACTTGCAGTAGTTGAGGTCATCAACCTTTGTAGCTTCCTCGGGTCGTTTGGAATCAGGCAAATCAATAAGCCTCAATCTCATCAGCTCCTCAAACATGGGAGGAACGTCAGAGTCTAAGAAAGGGTACTTCTTTTCCAACATCTCTTCTAGAAATGATTTAACACGTTTTGACGCCTCCAAGTCGACCCTAGGAACTTGCTTCGAATTTCGAGTGAAGATCTTAACAGGTGCAGTCTTCGCGACCATTGCTTCTTTCGTTTCAAACTTAGAAAAGGGCTTGCCCCCATTCTTGGTATCTTGTTTTTCAACAACATCGTTGATGGGACATATACCCATGGTTTTCCTTCTACTGCTTGCAATGCTTAGTTCCATGTTACGAGCTTTGCTTGCTAGCTCATCAAAAGTATTTGGATTCACTCCTTTGAGAATGTAGCACAACTCCCAATGCATTCCTCCTATGCACATATCGATGGCAGAGCTGGTAGAGATCTGATCTTTACAGCTAAGGGCGAGATCTCTCCAACGTTCTATGTAAGATATCACAGGCTCATCTTTCCATTGGCGAGTAGTAGTCAACTCGAGCAAACTCACCACCCTCCTTGTGCTATAGAAACGGTTTAAGAACTCATGTTCCATATCTTGCCAGTTGTCAATGGAACCGGGCTCTAGATCAGTATACCAGTCAAAAGCATTTGATTTCAGGGAACGCACGAACTGCTTGACAAGATGATCTCCACTTGTTCCCGCATTATTGCAAGTTTCCACGAAATGGGCAACATGCTGCCTTGGATTTCCATTCCCATCAAACTGAATGAACTTCGGCGGCTGGTAACCAATAGGCATCTTTAGATCCTCGATCCTTTGAGTGTATGGCTTAACATAGGAGTAAGTAGATTTGCTTCCTTCTATCTTCCCCTTTATGGTTCCCATGATGAAGTCTTTAAGTTGATCAATCGGGATCATGCCCCCAGAGGTTGAGATATCTTTCCCCGAATCTTCTTGGTGAGGATCATTCTCTTCATGCATTTCAGGATCCTTTTCATGAGTATGACTTGACTCACCTTTCAAGCTTTCTACTTTGTTGTTCAGATCATTCAACTTTTGGTCTTGAGATTGCATAAACATACTCATCCCCTCGATGACCTTAGTTAGATGGGCGATTTGTTCTTCCATAGATGTGGTGCTTGTCGTCATAGTGGGCATCACAGTGTAGACGTTTGACCACTGCGGAGTAGTTCTTCGTGGAGGACTTGACGGGGGAGTAGAGTCTGATCCACATGATGAGCTTTCACCGCTGCTCGTCCACTTCGGGGAAGTAACTTCACGTATGGGTGAAGAAAGCTTCTGGGCCATCTCTTGTGCAACTTGAAATCCATCCATTGAACCGGGAGTAGTTCCCGAGGATGACTGCGCAGCCAGGATTCTTGATCGGCTCCTAGTGATAGGGCCTTGCATGTTTTGATTTGAGTTTGATGACATGCTAGAATTCAAAGTGAACACGGGCTTGCTTGATGCCATCGGTTCGTTTACCTTGATCAAAAGTGAAGAGATGAGAGGCAGAGTTGTCCCACCGGGCGTGCCAAAAATTTGTGAAACAAATTTTAAGTATTTACTTAAAATTGATCGCGAATAATAAAATGTGAGAATATCGGGTACAATCTCTAAATATGAATCCTCTGATTCTTCACTTGCAATTTGATATGAATATAATTAAAGAATTTAATTAATAATTAAAGAATTTAATTAAAAATTAAATCTCTAATTCTTCAAATATTTGAACGTTCTACGGATCTTCGAATCTTCGTTCTTGAGATCTTCGAACCTTCGTTCTTTGGATCTTCAAATCTTCTTGAATAAAGAATTCAGCTTAAAGGGCCTCCGGTTTTCAAGTGGCTTGATCTTCAACAAAAGGGCCGTTTTATGACTTGATCTTTTGTTGAAGGGCCTCCCGGGATATATGGCTTGATCTTCAGTTGAATCTTGATTCAATTTTCATATGAATATCTTCAAATCTTCAAAGATTCGTTCTTCATATCTTCGAATCTTCAAAGCTTCGTTCTTCAGATCTTCGAATCTTCAAGCTTCGTTCTTCAGATCTTCGAACGTTCTTCAACTTTTTTCTTTGTTTTATCAAGAATAGATGAAATCACAAAGGATTAATCATATATTCTTGACAAAAAACGTGGCTTGATATCTTCCGATGCTTCGGAATCCTTCAGAGCCTTTCGGGAGTTCTTCAGAGCTTTTCTGCAGCGTTTCTTCGTCTGGAAGTTCTCCTCCATTCCTCTCAACTGAGACCCCTATTTATAGATGTGGAGGGGGTGAAAATATGGCTTTAGGGTTCCCAAAATTCGTCCATATTATATGGGCCCTAATTAAAATGGGTTTTGGGCTCTATTTGCTTGCATTTAATAGCTAGAAAAATCAGCACTTATATAATGTATCTGGACAACCTTTTTAACAAGGTTCGCAGCCACTTTCCATGCATACAGACATATTTCTTAATCAGATTCATTGCTCTCTTTATCAATTGGGTATATCTCTTATTATACTGGGCCACAATTTAGTAATGGGCTCAAAATTAATAGGATCGGTCCATTCTTTTAAAGATTTAATTCATAATTAAATTAATTGGATATTTTGAATGATCCAAATTAATTGAATTAATAAATTTTATCTCCAGAGATCCATAACACTATTTCCTTCTTGATAAGGCCCAACAACCATCACGGTATCAGTTCACCGGAATCTAATGCTGGCCCAATTGCACTTCAAAAAGACATAATGATAATCTGAATCGGCCCAATATTTTTTATATGTCTACAGGGTTATCACATTTTTTTGCAGATGTGTCTATGCAAGACAAAATGGTGATTTTTGACAATGAGAAGAGTGCAATAGGCTGGACTCGTGCAAACTGCGATCGCCCCCCAGTGTCCAACATTGTTTTCATCTAAATTCGGAGGAGTTTTAATCTTCTCATTTGTAATAATAGCTATTGGAAAAGGGTCAAATCAGATCTCCAGCTATTTGATTTAATGCCATTGAGACCTCCAAATTATAAACCTTCGATGACAAAATGAACTAAAAAATCATGCAATCGATTTTTACCTTTTGGCATCCCGTAGCCCTTTCCAAACTGAATTGTACTCCGCATATGGATACTTAGTGCAGATGATGCATCTGCATATATCAATAATGATGATAACAATAACAATAACATCAACGATCATAATTAGGGGTGGTTCGGTACGGTATACCTTATATTTTTTCTCATACCTTTGCCATACCAAAACTTTCGGTATGCAAAATTTGCATACCTTTACCTTACCGAAGTTTCGGTATACCGCATTTCGGTATACCGAAGTTTCGGTTCGGTAACGGTACGGTATCGATAAATTACCGTGCATGTCTCCCAATACAAAATATTATCATAGACTAACAAAATATAGTAAATCGTTATTACTAGCGACATATTCAATCTATTATTAAAATGTTACGAAATACAATTAATAATCTATTGATGTCAATTCAATATTGAACAATAATTATAATTAGTATATTTAATCAGTTCAACATACCACATATTATAAAGTAACACATTCTCCTAAAATAACTTGAACAATATAGATATAATTAAATTAATAGCGGTCTCTAACAAAAATAAATAAAACTATTCAAACAACATGGATATAAAATCATTTATTCCTAATATGATATTGTGTATTTAGTCATTTTTATAATTTTTTAAAAATTGAATAAGACTTTCGGACAAAGTTGTGTGTCTCGACTCGCTGAATCCCTATGTAGATACACTTGTCACATAAGTGTATCTCTCTTCACTCGTCAGCTACTTAGCGGCCCAGCCATCACGACTTGCAAGCTCTTGGAACAAGATGGACTTGTTTCTTGACATTTGTACATTACTCATTAGTCATTTAAGATTAGCGTAGTAGAAGCCTATAAGGTTATAGTGGGTTTGAGAAATTGGGCTTTTATTTTTGTATTTTTGTATTTGTAACCAACTTAAGTATTAATTTTGGGCTTCAAAATTGTAATGGATTTCTACAATATATTAAAATTAAAAGTAATTGTTGAGTAGGGAGTCGGTACGGTATTATACCGGTATACCGCGGTATTTGAAAACATTTATCGTTACCGTACCGAAATAGACCGGTACGGTATGATACCGTACCGAAAATGACGGTATACCAATATTTCGGTATTTTCCGGTATTTTTCGGTACGGTAAGTGCGGTATACCGATATTTCGGTATTTTTGCCCACCCCTAATCATAATTGGTGATTGACCGGTCATGGTTCTGGATTGGGATCGAGATAAGAACTTATAATCCGTAATATAAGCGCACATAACAGAAATTACGTTATTTTTGAAAGTAACAGAAATGAAGTTAATACATGGAGGAATTACGTTATTCTGCCATATGAATGGCAGAATGTATGCGGACATGAATGGAAGCTAGGATGTATGGGATTGGAATGATGAGTGGCGACTGCAATTAGTTGGCTCAAAGGAAAGAGTGTTCTGAGCCAGATCATAGCGCACCATCATATTCTGTTGTACAAAGTTCCCCAAAACCCCCGGTGATGACCCTCCCCCTCCGGCGTCGCCGATTGCCAAACAAGTGACATTGACCAAACGACCGCCCACCTCATCCTCTTCTATTATGAACACATTGCCTTGCGGGAGGCTCAGATTTGCGCCGCCGCCGCCGTGGGTGCCCTGCAAATGGAGCGTCAGCTTAGGGAAGCTGATCTCATTGCTAGGCAGGGTGAAACAAGGTAGATCTGAACTAGAGTCCGAAGAAAGCTTCAGCTGCTTCTCCACCTCACCGACGACCGCCTTGAAGGCTGCCGTGGGAAGGTAAGTGAGGCTGGTGCCGGTGTCGACAATCATCCCTCCACTCCCGTTCCGATTCAGCTGGAACGCCTCCTTGGGCACTGATTCCAGCCGTGTCTTGCCCACCGAGATTCCTTCGACGGAAACATAGTAATACTGCGATTTGGCGGAGTCATTCGTTGGCGGATTTCTTACCAATGGGGTCATGGTGACGTGCTCTCCCCCGCCTGCGGAGGATGATGTCCCTCCTAGTCTAAGCGTGCCGGTTGAATTGCTTCCCAGGCCGGGCAAGCAGTAGGAGAATTGGGAGACGTTGAGCTGGGAGACCAAGGACAGCCGCCCGCGGCTGAGACCAACCAAACCCGAGTTGTGGTTGAACCCTATCCCGCCGCTATTGTTTTGGCCGCAGAGGAAGGTGATGTTTGGGAAAGCAACCTGGTCTCGAAATGTCAAAGTCTCTGAGGCGGCGTAGCCTTCGACCGTCGATCCATCGCCGTACTTGATGCGGCGGGAGCAGCTGCCGCCGGTGTCATTCCTGAGCCGGCAGGCGTGGAAAGAAGTGGATTTCTCGGGGTTGAAGATGGGAGTGTCTTGAGGATAACAGTGGACACATGGCTGGCACTGAGTCCACATCAATTCACTGCCCGTGTCCATGAGAGACCTCAATTTCACCGGCGGAGTCCCGATGTGTAGGTCCATCAAGAACCCCGCGTTTTCAGGCGCGGGAAGTACCGGGGACATCGCCACCTTCCCCTCGCGCTCCGGCAGCGATGCCGCAGCAGTAGCAGCCCAGGCGCCGAACCTCTCGGCGTCGCGCTTTATGCCGATTCGCAATTGCTCCAGCCTGGACCAATTTTCGCTGGCACTGACGCCGTGATGTCTGCTCAGACTCATCCGAACCCCCACAGGCGACGCGGAATTCAGCGTCAAGCTTGAAACCCAAAAAGTGATGATCACCGTCGCCCAAACCTTCAAAGGAAACCAGCCACCCATTCTATTATATTCTCGCCGGCCGGCTGGCCCTCTCTCTCGGTTATTGTACTTCGGTTCTTTGTGGATGGTGAGTATCAAACACCTTATTGATTCCGCCCCTCATGTAGCCCAATGGCCACGGCTTAACTGGAAGATTGAAATTATATTTAACTGGACAGGCGAAAATACTTTTACTCTTTGCTTAATTAGAGCTTCTCATCTCCACCTAATTGTGGTTTGACTTGCTATTTACACCAAAATTATTTCCAAGTAAAATACTACCTATACTAATTTATTATTAATAATACTCCCTCCGTCTCAAATAATATTTTCCACTTTCCTTTTTAGATTGTTCCAAAAAATACTTTCTATTTCTCCTTTTGAAAAGTTTTTTGTGACTCAAATTCATTTACCTTTTTCTTACTCAACGACAACCATACATTTCCACTTTATTCACACTTTTTTAATAAGCGAGCCAAGTCAAATCGAACAGTATTTTTTGTAGCTTTTTTTGGCAGATACTTGTGGAGTTATGGTAGATTTTTTTTGTGGACATTGATTAGAATGTATTGTCAGATTCGATTCGACAGTTTTGTTTTTCTCTAGGGCTTAAACTATGTCGGCCGTTGGAGCCTTTTTCCGATTTCGACTTTGTCGAAGATCGGCTTTGTTATCCCTTGGTCGCTGGTGCTCGGCTGGAGTCTAGGTCAGACGCGGAGGGCTGAGATCGGTGGAGGGGGGCAGATTTGCTGTCATGGCTCGAGGAGATCGGCGTTGTGGTCAAGGTTCGAGGATGTGGCGTTGCTGTTGTCGTTGGAGGAGATCGGCACCGCCTATCCGTTTACTCTGGTCGCACGGAGCAAGGATGAGTTTGGTTATGCAGAGACGGAGGATTAATGCATGGTCTTTGGCCACCAAAGGTCACGGAGGATCAATTAGCATGGTACCAGTGGTACGACCTCCTCTTGAACCACCACCATGGGATGTGCGAGGTGCTAGAGTTCGTGAACGTTTTTCTTGTAGTTCTTATCTCTTTGTTATTTGTTTTTTTGTGTCCACTTTTGTTGTTGGTTTTGACAGTTTGTTTGAGTTTTTAGCCTCTCTTTATGTCATTGGGTATGGTTGGATCTATGGGAACAGGTTTGACTGTGTCAAGTCCACTACATGGTTAGCGATTCGTGTTGCTCTCTCAGGGGTGACCGTCTCAAAGTCTCACCATAGGGTTACAGTCGTAGTTGTTGGAGTTTTAGTTGACGTCAGTTTTGTTTTCCCTTTGCTTGATGTAACGATCATGAATCTTTTGATATGAATAGAGGCTCATTTGATGATAAAAAAATAATACTCCCTCCGTCTCAAAAAATACTTTCCACTTTCCTTTTTGGGTTGTTCCAAAAAATACTTTCTATTTTTCTTACCCAAATCGAGTAGTATTTTTTGTAGCTTGTGGAGTTATGGCAGATTTTTTTGTGGACATTGATTAGAATGTATTGTGAGTTTGTAACTGATTTGATGTTCATTTTATGGTGACAAAAATCTTAATGTTAAAACAAACATATTGCCTAGGCTAATGAAAGGAACTACTAATATTATGTTCACTTGTGTTGTGAATAAAATGCAAATGAAAATGAAATGATGATGTTGTGAATAAAATGCATGTTTTTTTATGCAACAAGATGACAGTTTGGGAGTCCAAAACAGACGACAATCACGTGGTGATACCCAGATTGGCTAGGTAGCGGATATTCTTCTGGATGACGGTGGCGTTATTTCTGTCAAAAGTAGCATGGATATGCTAGGATTCTATATATGTATATTTTTTTTTACTATAAATAGACTTAATTAGAAACTCATTAAGACTAATTTTGTAAAGTTAAAACATATTCAGTCTTACGAAATATTGAAGTTCTATGTGTACACTTTTTCACTGTTTTAGTCTTATTTAGAAATTGACTCTTCTCAATGAAAAATTAGAATATGAAAGTTACATGAGAGTGTTTGTTAAAAGTATTTTCACAAAAATTTAAAATTTATGAATCACAGACAAATTTAATAACTGAAACATAATCCAAATTTTACGATACATAAAAAAAATCAATATAATGTGGTCAACTTTTTTCACATGGAGGAGGTGGTAGGTGTTTTGCCCTAAAATGGTGGATGTTACTTTTATATTTTTATATTTTTATTAAATAAAAATTCAAAATGTTCCGTTTTCAGTTACTATCATTATTGATGTTCTTTGTAATCTTTAGCCATTTTCATTGGGAGAAATTCAAAAATAAAAGTAAAACGC